CTATATATGTTTATACATATAAAATATTGACATAAAGGCAGTGCATTTTGATTGATAGGTGTTATTAGTTTGCTAGGGTTGCTGGAGCAAAGTACCACAAACAGGTTGCACCCAAGAACCTTCCAGAATCCTACTGATGCTTACCCTCCATAGGCTGGTTATTGTTATTGTGCCCCCCTGAAAATTATGTTGACATCCTAACCCCCAGAACCCCAGAATGTCAGCTTATTTGGATATAAGTTTGTTGCAGATGTAATTAGATATGATGAGGTCATGCTGCAGAAGGGTGGGCCTTAAATTCAATATGACGGTGTTCTGATAAAACTGGAATATGCAGACACAGACGTGGTTCAAGCAACAGAAATGTATTGTCTGACAGGTCTGGAGGCTGGAATTCCAAGATGAAGGTGTCTGCAGGGCCTTGCTCCCACTGAAGGCATGAAGGAATGATCTGTTCCAGGCTGTCTCCCAGCTTCTGGTAGTTCCTTGTCTTCTGGCAGCAACACTGCAGTCTTCACACAGCATTCTCCCCGTGTGTGCGTCTGTGCCCACGTATTCCCGTTTAATCAGAACACCGGTCATATTGAATTTAAGGCCCCACCCTACCCCAGCATGACCTCATAACTAATTACATGTGCAACAACCTTACATCCAAATCAGCTGACATTCTGAGGTTCTGGGGGTTAGGATGTTGACATGAATTTTCTGGGGACATGATGACAACCAACCTATGGAGGGTTAGCACCAGTAGGATTCTGGAAGATTCTTGGGTGCAACCTTACTTTGCACAAAAGATCACTGGGCAGTAGAGAATATACTATTTTTAAAATTAAATTAAGTAAAAGGTCTTTACATAACAATGAAGGCTCCTTTATGTTTACTTATGCCTTTTTTTTTTTTTTTAGACAGAGTCTTACTCTGTTGCCCAGGCTGAAGTGCAGTGGTGCCATCTCTGCTCACTACAACCTCTACCTCCTGGGTTCAAGCAATGTTCCTGCCTCAGCCTCCCAAGTAGCTGGAATTACAGATGTACACCACCATGCCGAGCTAATTTTTATATTTTTAGTAGAGACAGGGTTTCACCATGTTGGCCAGGCTGGTCTTGAACTCCTGACCTCAAATGATCTGCTTACCTTGGCCTCCCAAAGTGCTGAGATTACAGGCATGAGTCACTGTGCCCGGCCTCCTCATGCCTTTCTTCCAACCCACGCCCCCTCTCCTCCTCTCTGTCTCTCCGAATCTTCCTCATCATCCCAGCCCTAGCTCACCTTCATTGTCATCAGGACATCTTTGTTCTCACTGGCAGGATCCTTGCCCAACTGTGCACTTGCAGTCTTCACCACCAAACTTTAGTAATTTTGTCTGTTCTGTCTCGTGATTTTTTTCTAGCTGATATTAAAGCACGTATACCACCATATGTTATCTATCAGGCCATGCATTTACTAGGTATCTGGTATTTCTAAATTGAGCACTTTCTGGTTTTGTCATGAAAAGGAACTCAGATACTGAGGCACATGAATCTTTTCTAAGATATAGGTTTTAATCACCTTAATCTTGAAGAGTGCATGTGTGAATGTGTTGGGGTGGAGTTGAGGAGTGAGGTGGCCGTGAGTCTGTGAATTATTGAGTACTCAGCTGTGAGTCTGTGAATTATTGAGTACTCAGCTGACTATGCGTTGTCTAAAAAGCAAACCAGCTGCCATCTTCCACTTTGATAACATAGGCAAATTGCTGGGAATGTATATGTATTCAAATCATGTATTTGGAAATTTGAGCATTTCCAGGGACATCAGACTCTATTGGACCTGTCTCTGTAACAAGGTTATGTGCTCCTTGAAGGCAAGAACCTTTTCTTTCTTTTTTTCCTTTTTGAGATGGAGTCTTGCTCTGTCACCCAGGTTGGAGTGCAGTGGCATGATTTCAGCTCACTGCAACTTCTGCCTCCTGGTTTCAAGTGATTCTTCTGCCTCAGCCTCTCAAGTAGCTGGGACTACAGGCATGTGCCACCACACCCGGCTAATTTTTTGTATTTTTAGTAGAGATGAGGTTTCACTGTGTTAGCCAGGATTGTCTCGATCTCCTGACCTCATGATCTGCCTGCCTCAGCCTCCCAAAGTGCTGGGATTACAGGCATGAGCCACTCTGCCCTGCCGAGAACCTTTTCTTTTACTTCTTAATGCCCAACATAATTCTAGGGGTAGAGGCATGCTTATTAATGCATTACACTAGCATTAGTGAAGCCAGAGATTTCCTTAATGTAAATAAAGTACAGCTAGTGCTCGACTTACGACCATGATTGGTTCCTACAGACCGATCGTAACACGATTTGGTCGTAAGTTGAGTAGGCTATATGTACAGTACTGTGAAATGATGTTATAAAAATCTTTAAGTCATATTTTATCATAATTTTCTTTCATTATTGTTATATATCATAATTTTCTTTGTTCATTTTACGCCATTTGTATCATCTCTACACCATTTTGTTTCTTATTTTTACATTCGTCAGATTTAAGTAAAACACTGCATTACCAGTACAACTGGTTTAATATTTGCAAAACATACAAAATTACAAAATACAGGTGCATACAAAAATACAAAATACAGGTGTAAAAAATACCATAGGAAACATTTTCCCAATTGCAAAACATATCAAAATATATAAACATGTATGAAACATTTTATTGGCCGCTGGTGCTTGGCTGCGGATCGTTGATGTTGTCACCTGAGGCAGCAGTTGGGGTTACCGGAGTTGGTTTTTTCATAAACATGGTGAGCTTTGTCTGAATTGTATGTTTCTTTTGTTCTTCATAAATTTCACGATACGGACGAAACACATCGTATGCCATCTGTTCAATCCTTGCAAATTGTTCTATGTTTGGGTCCATTGCTTCGAAATGTATAAGAAGTTTATTGGGATGGGTTTGATGAAAAATATCCAAGACACAAAACACAAATTGCTGTACCGAGTCTGGGATAACAGTTGAAATGGTGCACGTGGAGATGGTAGTGCTACTGGAAGCTGGTCTGCACTGTCGTACGCCTGTAAATAAATAAAAATGTGGCCAGGCACAGCAGCTCACACCTGAAATCCCAGCAGTTTGGAAGTCTGAGACAGGCAAATCACTTGAGACCAGGAGTTTGAGACCAGCCTGGCCAATATGGTGAAACCCTGTCTCTACTAAAAATACAAAACTTAGCCAGGTATGGTGGCACATGCCTGTAATCCCAGCTACTCGGGAGGCTGAGGCAGGAGAAGCCCTTGAACCCAGGAGGCAGAGGTTGCGGTGAGCCAAGATCACGCCATTGCACTCCAGCCTGGTCAACAAGAGTGAAACTCCGTCTCAAAACAGAAAAAAAGAAAAATGTGTTCTTACTGTACTAGACTCCGTAAATATTTTGCAAGTAAACGTAAGTTTACTATAATTACCAAGTGGAGTTTGTCATTTTAATTTTGAATAGTATGTATTATGGTTGGAATATGCCCTCCAAAACTCATGTTGATTTTTAATTGCCATTATGACAGGTGGAAGAAGTGGGACCGTTAAGATGTGTTTAGGCCACGAGGGCTCTGCCCTCACGAATAGATGAACGTTGTTATTGTAGGAGTGGGTTTGTTATAAAAGCGAGTTTGACCCACTCTTGCTCTCACCCTCTCTTTCCCTTCTGCCTCCCGCCATGGAGCGATGCGGCACTAATGTCTTTACCAGACACCAGCATTATGCACTTGGACTTCCGGGACTCCAGAATCATGGGCCAAATAAACTTCCTTTCCTTATAAATTACCTAGCCTGTGGCATTCTGTGATAGCAACACAAAGTGGACTGAGTGTGTGAAATATGCTTTTAAATGTGATAAAAATTACAACCATATATTAACCTTTCTAAAACATTGAAAATAATCTTTCTTCAGAGTGAATGAAAACTTATACACTAAAAAAGTTAATGAGATTTCTAAGGTATGTAATATAAAATTATATAGGCCTGGCATAGGAAGGTAAAATATATTAAATATCTTAATTGGAAAACTGATATTTAACTATATTTGCCTCCCATGACTTAGAGTAGTTTAGACATTATGCTTTTCTATCTAGTGTGCTGAAATATGTCTTGATGATAAATTCACTTAATAACCACGTATTATCTTGTATTTTTGCAGTTAGTTGAATGAACAGTTTAGTTAACATTAGTCATGGAACTCCAGGCCATGGTATGATTAAATAATATTGAATTTATAATTCATTCTAAATATGAGTTTTATATTTAGATTTCTGTTAAGATATCACACAGAATAAAATAATTTACTATAGTTCTTTCTGCAAGCTTTCAAAGAAATTATATGAGGTAAGACTGCCGCCTGCTGGTCAAGATTTGTTGCTTCCTTTACTTTTCAAACTTGTTTTTCGCTATCGCAGAGGATGTAATAAATACAATTCGAAGCAATCCAACATAGAGACTTTTGAGATGTCCTAGGTTGTCACAAATTATTGATGCTTGAACATCCTAATGATTATGATTCCCACAAACCTTTCGTGTTTATCCTTCCCTCTTGATGGCTGTTGATAACAAATCTATGGCTGTATATTTCTGAGTCTTTGAAAGATGCAACCTAGAAGCTAAGTTGCATGCAGGCTCCTTTCTCCTGAGCAGTGTGAGCCAAGCATCTGTCGGTAGATGAGGGGCCTCTAAGTGTTGCTGAACCTGCTGCATAGCTGCCCTCCTCTACCTTGTCTTTTTCTGACGACATCTCACAAACATACCGGCAACGCCACTTTGTCCTCTTCTGGAATGCCAGTGCGAAGACGTCTCCCACTCCTCTCACTGGCTCTGAGCCCAGCCTTGAGGTCACCCATTACTCAGGCGATCCTTAGCTATCCCTAAGGTGACACAGTCTTATATCATGACTCTGGGGCAGCAGTTCCCAACCTTTTTGGCACGAGGGACTGGTTTTGTGAAAGGCAATTTTTCCAGGAACCGGGGTGGGGGGGGATGGTTTGGGGATGATTCAAGCTTATTACATTGATCGTGCACTTTATTTCTATTATGATGACATTGTAATAAAGAATGAAAATTTACACAAGTCACCATAATGGAGAATCTGGGAGCCCTGAGCTTGTTTTCCTGCAACTGGACGGTTCCATCTGGGGGAGAGGGGAGACAGAGACAGATCATCAGGCATTAGATTCTCATAAGGTGCATGCAACCTAGATCCCTTGTATGCACAGTTCACGATAGGGTTAGCGCTCCTAAGCATCTAATCTTGCAGCTGATCTGGCAGGAGGCGGACCTCAGGCTGTAATGCAAGTGACCGGAGTGGCTGTCAATACAGCTGGAGCTCACCTTCTGCTGTGTGGCCCAGTTCCTAATGGGCCATGGACTGGGGGTTGGGAACCCCTGCTCTAGGGGACAGACAAGCTGAGTTTGAAGGCCTGGTCTACCCCTGGCTACCTCAATGACTCATTTTGGTCATCATGAGCATGCACTCCTTCTATAATAAGTAAAAAATAAGTTGTTATAAACATCCTTCCCTAAATGCTTCAACCACCAACCTGCCCTGATCTGAGGCTGACGCTGAGTTCCAAGAGGCTCAGGTCCAAGAAACAGGAAGTGCAGATGCAAGTCCTTGAGTGTCAGTTTCAGTTCCCAGACGTCGCTCCCCCTTCTCCTTTTTCCCAAGAAAACCACATTATGCACATCCTGTCTGCTCTTCTCAAGCTTACAGAGCATGTTGAAATTAAATTGTACCCTGACAACTTGAAAATCCTTTTCCCGATTAAAACAAATATTTACGGAACACTTTCCAGGTAGCAAGAACTTGCTAGACACTGCATTTAAAAAGATGAATGTGCTTTCTACATGCTTAATTTGCACCACGAACACAGTTTATTCAGGATCGCCAAGAGACCTAGCCAGCAGAGGTATCTGTCAACTTGATTGAGGAAAAAAAGGCAAACATGAGAAATTTCAGGCACGTGAAGTTTGCAAGAACAAGAAAGTTATAAAGGAAATCTTGGGAAATTCAAATGTGACATTCTGTAATGGCCAGAAAGTTACCTTGTTGTTGGGATGCAAAGAGTTAAGAGATTTTTGTGAACTTCTTCTGGACAGGGGTTCTTTTCCTGATCTTGTATTTCCAGCACCTCTCACAGTAGCTGCATATAGTTAGCACTTAATTAACATTTATTGAACTAATTGCCTCCCTTGCTCTTGCTTACGGAAACAGTCATAATCATTATCCCCTTCATCTAGCAAATACAAAGTGAGGCGGAATGAGCACAGACCAAGTAAGAAACAGACAAGTGAAGCTGGAGAAGCTTCAAATGTTTGGAGGACTCCCGGGCATCTCTCCCCAGCCTCCAGATGAATTCTGTGGTGCTAATGGCGATGCGTGAAACTCAGAGTCCCTGGGATTGCAAAGTCTGTCTGCCAAGGAACGAGGTCTTCAAAGTCCACGAGAAAGGAAAACGAGAATTAAAAATGGATTTGGCGATATAGATGGGGGAGAAAGTCATACCATCATATCTCAGTGAGCTTTCTAACTGCGGTAATAGACATGGATGGCAGAATCTTCTAAGGCTCACAAATAACAGTGACGCTATGTGCTTTGCATGCATTACCTAAGTTAATGTTCAAAACAACTGGAAGCAGATTTGCCCCATTTTACAAATGAGGAGGAAACTGAGGTTCTGGGAGCTTGCTAGCTGCTTGGTGAAGAGGCCTAGATTTCTGCGTATCTCAGCTTTCAACATGCCTTTCTCACTAAGCCTAATTATTTCCAGCTTTTCATTTAAAGTGAGAGACTTGAGATTCTTCCTTTCAGTTGAACACTTAGAGGCTATTGTAAGATTCTGTTTTTTTTTTTAAGACAGGGTCTTGCTCCATCGCCCAGGCTAGAGTATGGTGGCACAATCTTGGCTCACTGAAGCTGCCACTTCCTGGGCTCAGGTGATTCTTTCACCTCATCCTCCCAAGTAGCTGGGACTACAGGTGTGCACCAGCATGCTAATTTTTGTAGTTTTGTAGAGATAGGGTTTCTCCATGTTGCCCAAGCTGGTCTTGAACTTCTGGACTCAAGCGATCTGCCTGCCTCAGCATCTTAAAGTGCTGGGATTACAGGCTATTGTAGGATTTTTTTTTTTTTTTTTTTTTTTTGGGGGCGGAGTCTCACTGTGTCACCCAGGGTGGAGTGCAGTGGCACAATCTCAGCTCACTGCAACCTCCACCTCCCAGGTTCAAGTGATTCTCCTGCCTCAGCCTCCTGAGTAGCTGGAATTACTATTCAGGGTATGTGCCACCATGCCTGGCTAGGTATTTTGTTTGTTTGTTTGTATTTTTAGGAGCAATTTGTATTTTTAGGAGAGATGGGGTTTCACCATGTTGACCAGGCTGGTCTGGAACTCCTGGCTTCCAGTGATCCACCCGCCTCAGCCTCCCAAAGTGCTAGGATTACAGTTGTGAGCCAGTATGCCTGGCTGGTATTGCAGCGTTCTTAATTGGCCTAATTTCAATATTGTTGTGTCTCAGGGAATAGGGAGGCCTGAGGAGAGAGATGGGAAAATGGCCGGTCCACGGAACAGTCACAGTATTTATTGATGAAGTTTGCTGTCTTACAGGGGCACAGTTCATGGCACCCCCCTCACCCAAATTACAATAGTCATGTCAAAGATAATTATCGATACGCATGACCTATATCATACTAATTACACAGTGAAATATTGTAAGAATTACCCAAATGTGACACAGAGACACAAAGCGAAGGCCTGCGGTTGGAAAAATAGCGCTGACGCAGAAGGTTGCCACAAACCTTCCCTTTGTAAGAAATGCAGTCTCTGGAAAGTCAGAAAGCAAAGCTCAGTAAAGTGCGGCAGGCCTGCACACGCCTGGTTTTCTCTGCTGCTGCCTTGCTGGTTTTCTGCCTGGTCCTGGGATCCTGAGTTGAGAGGGCCCAGACTCGCTATGGGGCCTGGCTCCTCCTCCAGTCACCGCTTGCCTTGAGTGTTTGCTCACCTCACTTTCTCAGTGAGGACAAGCGACCACCCCAGTGAACACTGCAACATGCACCCCACCCCTGCACTCCAGCCCCTCTTCTTTACCCTTTCCAACCCATGATCCTTTTACACCTCTAACATACTGTGCAGTGTACTCATTTATTATGCTTATTACTTTTTTTTTTTTTTTTTGAGACAGAGTCTCGCTCTGTTGCCCAGGCTGGAGTGCAGTGATGTGATCTCGGTTCGCTGCAACCTCCGCTTCCTGGGTTCAAGTGACTCTCCTGCCTCACCCTCACGAGTAGCTGGCACTACAGGTGCATGCCACCATCCCTGGCTAATTTTTGTATTTTTAGTAGAGACTGGTTTTCGCCATATTGGCCAGGCTGGTCTTGAACTCCTGGCCTCAGGTGATCCACCCGCTGTGGCCACCCAAAGTGCTAGGATTACAAGCATGAGCCACGGTGCCCAGCCTGTTATGCTTCTTACTTAAGGGGTTTCCCCATACTCAGATGTAGGCTTCATGATAACAAGGATCTATTCACTGATAGGTCACGAACACTCAGGACTATCCCCGGCAATGTGGGCATCCGTACATACAGTTTGAATAAACATACCCTTCTGTTAGCAAATAAAAATGGGATTGCATTGCACAAGCTGCTTTAGAAAGACTCTTTGGCCTCATATTTTTTGAATGTGTTCTCATGTCAAACATATTTGCATACGATGCAAATATGTTTTCTAACCACATCATGGGCTACTATTTTCCAGTTTTCATCAGGTCATGTTTAATCAATCAAGCAATTTATGTTTTTATAGTAATCTTTTTTAAAAAACATCTTTATTGAGACGTAATTCACATACCATAAAATCCACCCATTTACAGTTTACAATTCGCCTGTAATCCCAGCACTTTGGGAGGCCAAGGCTGGTGGATCACCTGAGGTCAGGAGTTTGAGACCAGCCTGGCCAACATGGTGAAACCTCGTCTCTACTAAAAATACAAAAAAAATTAGCCGGCGTGGTGGCAAGTGCCTGTAATCCCCCACTCGAGGGGCTGAGGCAGGGGAATTGCTTGAACCTGGGAGGTGGAGGTTGCAGTGAGCCGAGATCAGGCCACTGCACTCGAGTCTGGGCAATAAGAGTGAAGCTCTGTCCAAAAAAAAAAAAAAAATTTCCTTAAGGCAAACCTCTAGAACTGATATTTCCAGGTTGAGGTGTATGCAGATCCATCCTCCCTTCCTCTCCCTTTTTTTTTTTTTCTTAAGCCTTCCCTACGTATTACATTGCTAGAAGGTGGTGGTTTAGGTGTCTAGGGAATTCCAAGGCCCCTACTATTTTGCTGCTTCCTTTTCAAGATGATTCAGACAGGATTCCGGGAACCTTGGAAAATAAGATCCTGTGGCAAATCTTTGTAAACTGAGGCTGGCAGGTAGCTGCAATGCCACAAGTATGAAGAGCATTGAAAGTTCTGAGCATTCAAATTAGGTTTCAGTAGAGCTGAAGTGTAGTGAGAAATGTTTTTCTTTTTCTTTTTCTTTTTTTTTTGAGACAGTTTCTCTTTGAGTGCACTGGTGCGATCTCGGTTCACTGCAACCTCTGCTTCCCGGGCTCAAGTGATCCTCCCACCTCAGCCTCCTGTGTAGCAGGGACCACAGGTGCACACCACCACACTCAGCTAATTTTTGTATTTTTTTTTTTTTGGTAGAGACAGGGTTTTCCCATGTTGGCCAGGCTGGCCTCGAACTCCTGAACTCAAGCGATCTGCCTGCTTTGGCCTCCCAAAGTGCTGGGATTATAGGCACAAGCAACCGCAACCTGCCTATTTTCCCTTTACTTAGTTTCTTTCTTAAATGGAAAGTCATTGAGTAACTCTATTAGGTTCTAATTTTGATTGCTTTTTCAGTGACTCTGATGAACACATCATTGTAGTATCTGGGCAATCTAGCTCTTTAAGTACTAAGTGGTACTGAAATTATGACCATATTTCAGGTTAGTACTGAAAATTTCAATTTCAGTTCTAAATTCCAAATTTAAAAAAGGCACGAAGTCGTTTACAAGAAGCACATGAACGGAAATGGAAATAAAAAATCTGAAAGCAGGAATAAGGAAAGAAAAAGCAAACTGGCCAAATCATACTAAAAACAAGAAATCAGATGAGTTACATTCAAACTATATGAAAGGAGGAGGCGTGTAATACTTATTTTACGTTAAATTCATTGAGAGGCCTTTTTATGTTCAGTTTTTTTCTTGAAAAAATAGTTATGCATCTCTCCTCACATACCTCTGTGAATTGCCCTCTACTTTATTTCGGTCTTGCCTTAAACGCCACGACATCAGAGTTCTTTCCTGATCACACTAGTTAAAACAGAGATTTCTTCATGGTCTTCCAGCTTCTACCCTGTTCATTCTGATCCATTCTCTATGCTGGAGTCAGAGTGCTCTTTTGAAATCCAAGCCAGCCCATGCTATTTTGCTGTTTATTTACTTAGAGATGGAGTCTCAATCTGTCACCCAAGCTGGAGTGCAGTGGCACGATCTCTGCTCACTGCAACCTTAGCCTCCCGGGTTCAAGCAGTTTTCCTGCCTCAGCCTCCCGAGTAGCTGGGACTGCAGGTGTGCACCACCATGCCTGGCTACTTTTTTTTTTTTTTTTTTTTTTTTTTTTTGTATTTTTAGTAGAGATGGGCTTTCACTAAGTTGACCAGGCTGGTCTGGAACTTCTGACCTTATGATCTGCCCACCCTGGCCTCTCAAAGTGCTGGGATTACAGGTGTGAGCCACCACGCGTAGCCTGTTCTGCTGTTTAAAACCCTCCAATGGCTTCCAATTTCCATTAGAATAATTGAGACACTCACATGACCTGCAAGGCCTTACCTAGTCTGGCTACCACCTCGCTCCTATCTTTGACTTTTCTTCTTTTACTGCTTTCCTGTTTTTGTGAGCTGAACTGTTCCCTAGCTTCCAAGTTCATGTTTTGAAGTCCTAATCCCCAGTATCTCAGAATGTGACCTTATTTGGAAATAAGGTTGTTGCCGATGTGATTAGTTAAGACGAGGTCATACTGGAGTAGGACGGGTCCCCTAATCCATTAGGACTGGTATCTTGTAAAAAGGGTAAATTTGACACAGACACAACACAGGGAGAGCGTCTCAGGAAGACTGCAGTGATGCTGCCACAGCCAAGAACCACCAAGCCCGTGAGACAGGCCTGGAATGGATCCTTCCCTACACTTTCAGAGGGAGCATGGCCCTACAGACATTTTGATCCTGGACTTCCAGATTCCAGAATGGTGAGAGAATACGTTTCTGTTAAGCCAGTCAGTTTGTGGTACTTTGCTACGGCAACCCTAGTGGACTAATACACCTGTGTGCTCTCTAGCACTCTGGACTCTACAGCTCCTCCAACAGGCCAGGTGCAGTTCCTCCTCAGGGGTTCTGCATTGCAAGTTCAGGCTACCTGGTATCCTTGCACAGGTATTGCATGGCCCTGTTTAAAACTCTCCAATGGCTTGCAATTTCCATTAGAATAATTCAGATCCCAAATACAAATTCCATGAAGGTCAAAAATTTCTCTAATTTGTTCCCTGGTATATGCTGAGTCTAGAGTAATAGGAACTCAATAAATATTTGCTGAAGGAATGAATAAATATATAAGTGAAGGCCAGGTCAGCACTTTAGGAGGCGGAGTCGGGTGAGTTGAGGTCAGGATTTTGAGACCAGCCTGATTGACATGGTGAAAACCCTATCTCTCCTGAAAATACAAAAGCTAGCTGGGTGTGGTGGTAGGATCTGTAATCCCAGCTACTTAGGAGGCTGAGGTAGGAGAATCACTTGAACCTGGGAGGTGGAGTTTGCAGTGAGTTGAGATCGTGCCATTGCACTCCAGCCATGGCAACAGAGTGAGACTCCATCTCAAAAAAAAAACAAAAAAAACAAAAAATGAAAAACAAAACCCCATATATATATATGTGTGTGTGTGTGAAACTTTAAATCCTAAAGCTTGGAACTAGGATAACTGTGAAGGCATGCTAACCAATACATTCCTTTTGAAAATGAGGTATTCCTAGTTACCACTGGGTTCTACAGAAAGTATGCTTCTGGACTTGAGACCTTAAAATGTTAGTCAACACATATCACTAGTGAAAATTATGTGACTGGTCGATATTTCACTTTATTAAGACTTTAGATTCTTTAAAATACTTAATCCTACTTTTGATAAAGTTAATACTTCCTACTCACTGAGTATCTAATGAGTTGTGTGGGAAAAGAAATTTGAAGATATACTATGCTGTACAAGAATCATCCCCTCCATGTAAGAAATTCCTAAAGTGGACAAATATTCAAATTTAAATTTAAGGAGAACTATGCCAAGTGACAACTGCTCTGTTATAAGGCACCTTGAAATTGCCATGTTGAGTCCCACCAGGACCAGGTAGTCCTGCTGCTTCACGTCAGTGTGGACCATGACCAAGGAGACCACGGCTTCCACGCTGAAGTGACGCAGACCAACGGTGGGAAATTAAACCCAGGTCGTTCTTGTCCAGGCCCACATTGACTGTGATCATATGCGTGTGACTTTCAATGCGATTCCTATTGCTTGGTACTAGCCCTGCTGCCATCCCGAGATATATATGTTCTGACCATTGCCTTTAGCAATCTCTGCTTGTCCTACTGAAAAAGGCATCATGTCACCAGGTTACTTAAGGTGTTAAATTTATTTGTAAATTATAAAAGAGCCATGTTATAGAATATTTTGAAAATAAGGAAAAAGATTACCTAACGATTGCCCCTGTTAGCTGTTTTCTGTGTTCACACAGTTGTAACTAAATTATGGCCATGCTTCTTATACCCTGGGTTTTCATTCCTGTTACACTTGTTTTTACCTTACTGCCTCATCCTAAAATTAATAATACTGCTTCATAATGGTGTTTCAGTGGTTGCCTCAAATTCAGTTAAGTGGATGAATAATTGACATTTTCCTACTGTGAGAACTTTAGTCACAATATCTCTGCCCCTACCCTGAGCTGTCTGCTATTTTAAACTGCAATAACTACACATTTTAAAAGT